TTTTTTTTTTTTTTTTTTGCCGCGTTCAAGCGTCCGCTTCGTGATGTGCGTGATTGCTAGTTTACCAGTGATGTTTAGTGTTATTGTTTGTTATAATTACCGTAATAATATCCATTAGAGAAAATTCCTCAAATCGCGGATTTCCACGGCGCCTGACTAAACGCATAATAATAGCCGATGGGTATATCTCACAAGAATGCGTCCGTATTAAAACGTCGTTAAAATTGCGTTTTTAATTAACGTTACCCACACGCGCTGCAGGTAAACCCGAGATATATTTATTATTGAAATAATATTAGGTGTCAACGTCGACGACGACGACACATCCGGTTGCGGACGTCAGCAGGAAAATAAATTCTTAACACATAAGTAAAAAAACGCCCGCGTACGTCCCGCGTATTTCGCAAACGGACGAAATTGTATTCCGCACACGGTTGGGTTTCACAAGACTGCAGAAAAATATATCATAACGTACTTGAACTAATTGATCCGTTGAATTGCATTCGAGAGTCCTGCAGACGTTATTTCCGGATGACATTCGATCCGTCCCTTATTGCTGATCAACAGAAAATTAGAGAAGTCAGTTATTGTCAGACGCCGAGCACCTACGCGTCCTGCCATTTATTCGGTTTAACATTTTCAAATTACAATCATTGATATACATATTGATTAGACTTTTAACAATGGCGCACACGCGTTTCGATTTGCGCCGAAACGAAACATTAGAATTTCCTTGAAATGGGTGAAATTCGGCAGTGGGTATAACGTATTCGGCTGTGGGAGGTGCGATTTGACCAGCCAGTTCAAATGTCGAGCGGGTCGCCGTTGTCGTATTTGTTTTTGAATTCCATCAAGGATAACATTCTGTTCTCATGCGACCCGCTTTCGAGGATGTACCATTGACCTTTGTACGGATTCGTATTAATAAATAAAACAAAACTAAAAGAAACGAGCACATCCTGTCATTGTGCAACGTGTCGTCGAAAAGCTCCTCGGCGCGCTGTCCCATTGTCAGAACGCATAAAATTAATACCTAAACAAGTTGGCGGCGGGTTAATATCATTATTATATTTCTCGCCTTTGTTTTGTGCGTTTAACTCGTGGGATTTCGGGTCAATATGATAACGAGTACACTCGGTCGAAAAATAGTAATTGAATAAACATAAATAAAAAATAGTTTCATCATCGCTAATATTAGTACGTACATGTGGACACATTGTTATTTATTTGTTAAATATTGTCACAATTTAACGTGTGCACCTCTGATTTTTTTTTTGTTTGTTTGTTTGTATGTGCACATTTATTAATACATACACTCGTTAGTATTGCGCTAAGAACATTGTAATTGTTGTTTTGAAAAAAATATAAACTGTAAGCTCTTCTTCGTCGCACTTTGCCGAATTGAGGTCAGTTTCTAGAATGGTTTTGCTATTACTATTATTATTATTATTATTATTATTATAAAACATTAATGTAAACCGAAAAAGAATAACGATCTTACTCACTTTTTTTTTTTTTTTTAGTGCGTGTAACGGTCTATTTCTATACATGTAAAAGTTCAACAAGTTCTCGGTCGGTGTCTTTTTAAATATTTCAACGCGACAGCAATTATCGAGGGGCTCGGTGTGGGGAGACCCGTAACCGTTTAAATATATAATATATATAATACCTGTAACCTGAACACAGAGGTTACGGTCCGTTGGGGAGAACGCGCGGTGGGTCGGCGTTCGCACGAGCCTTCTGACCAATAGCGAGGCGATTTTCGGTAGTTTGTGTGTGTATTCTATTTTTCGTTCGTCACACTTCTCTTGGCGGCATAGAGTGTCATGATATTCAATAGGTAAAAAAAGGTAGGACGGGAATATGCGAAAAAAAAATCGTGCAAGGGTAAAACGTGAGGGCTGTGTACACTCCTCCGCCGATGTATTGCTCAACATGTTGATGGTATTCGCGTTACGAAATGCCCCCACCCGCCGTCGGATTTGCGGCACACTGTTGCAATGAGTAATATCATTCATTTTTTACTCTATCGGTGCTCGTGCGCCCGGTTTTGGTGTGTGTGTGTCCGAAAGCGACCGTTGATTTATGCGTCTAGAGTACTATTGTAACGACTATGGATTTATTTATGTTTTGTCACCTGTGTGTGTGTTTGTATTTGAAGTTGTCCGTCCGACTGAATTTCGTGTCTTATTAATTCGTGTGCATCGTTGTTAATATTTTTTAATTTCAATCAGAAATGTTCCAAAAGTCGCGGTATGAAGGCGTTGGAAGAGTCGAATATTAAAAAATTTACCCACGCTTGTTATTAGGAGGACGCTGCCCACGTTGGCATCGTCACCCACTTAATCACCTACTACACTCCCACGCGTTGTCAATGATATCCTTCGGGCAGTGCACTTTTCGCTGGTTTTTTCCTTACACGATATTCCGTTTAGAAAAATAATGATTTTTTTTTTCGATGTACTGTGATCCACAAGGTCCCTGCGCCGGCCGTTGGGGTAGGTGGTGACACGTGCTATTTATTCCCACCGTGTGTAGTGTTCTTGACCTGTTGAGCACGAGGCGCGCTCAACGACCCCGGCAGTGGAGGCGCTCGCGCAGCAACAGGTACTACTACCCCTTTACGGCCAACGCCGACTTACCGTAGTAGGTAGTACGTTGGCCGTACGCTATTTTATCGATTTGCTGTCGGCGGCACGTGACACCACACGCCAAAGTCAAGGACAAGTACGCTACCCTTGCGCCCGGCCGGGCGTTTACCTCAAAAAGTTCGCGCCCGCACAGCCCCCGAACGACGATGGTCCCGGCAAATGAGTCAAATTTCTCTCAGTTAACCATCAAACGCGGCTGCAGCATCAGCACAATGAAATCCTTGGAGTCTGCCAGATTTATTGTACCCTAAAAATTAATTTTTGGTGAGCAACTAGCGAATTGGTTTGATTAGTTTTTATGAATTCTCTACGATGGTCAAGTGAGTGGACAAAAAATGTTTATAATATAAGTAATAGGCGATGTCGGTCACCTAAGGGTGTTGGTTGTGATCAGAATGTCGATTTGATCGTCAATGCAAAAACCATAATTTCTTATCTATTACATAATGTAATTCATTTGGAGTGTTCGATCGTCGGTATCATTACATAAGCCTTGGTCGTCGAGATGTCCCGCTAAGTCGTGTGTCGCATGTGAGCCGTTGAAAAACAAATAAATAAAGATAAAACAAATGATCAAAAATCACCGTCGTTTAAAACCGGTCTCGATATCAACGCCTCTCCTGTGTTTTTGGAGTTTTAAAAAACGTTAAGCCGCCAAAATATGTACACCTAATAAAATATATCGGTGTAATTTCGATAAAAAAATAATTCCATTATACGGCCAAGTTTTGGTCGATATCCGATTTCTATTATACCGCCACACGTACAGAAAAAAAATATATGATAATCAAATCGTGGGCATGTCAAGCCGCTGATTTTTATCTAAGTGCTGTTGTGTGGAACATTACCGTAAATTATTGATGCCTTCTGATAATCGCGTGGTGAACATTATTTGGTATCACTTTTCACCTTTGTGGTGGTATATGCCGGCCGCCGCGCCCGCCGTTTTCAAACTTTACCTGTATATAAATTTATTATCAACGATAAGCTTAGCCATCTTCCTCTTTTTGCACTTGAAACGCACCCAGAGAAAAACCTCGATCTATATAATAAATTCATTGTTCAATTTGTTAAATATAACATTACTATTGAACCTATGATATATTTATCAATATGACAATTTTTTTTTCTTGTCTTGAACAATAATTATTCATAAGAATAGTTATTTTGTTCGTATTAATAAAACATTATCATAAACCCTTGATAAGATTTCTCTATCAAAATTGATTGAGGTTTTTCTTTGGGTGCGTGTCTTTTGAATATAGTTTTTTTAAGTATTTTCGTTTTATTTTTTAGACAGCCAGATTTACGGTGAATGCACGTTGGTTCCATCAGCTGCACGAATGACTATGGCTGAGGTTGAAATGGAGCCGCCGACAGACAGGGCGAGCCGGTCGACGACTATCAACTGTACCATCACGCCGTCGTCCATGTACAAGATCAACAACAACCATCCGTTGGCCACCAACAACAACAACCACACGCGTCCCGTGTACGTAAAACATAAAAAACGCAAACGACTCAACCAAGTGTTGGATAGGTTGACGGTGCAAGCGACATCGCCAACAAACAACAATAACAACAGCATCAACAACAACAAGGAAGATTCGATAAAGAGAGAGTACGACAGCGATGAGTCGTTGCGCCGGGCAAAAGACTACGAAGAACCGTTCAGTCCTGGCTCGTCATCCAACCGATCGCCTCAAAGCATCAACACCGACTCGCCCTTCAGTCCAAATAGAACGAAGGACTCCGACGAGCCGCAAATGCCCGTTTTGCCCGTGCCGTTCTTGCCGCCGCCCCCGCTACACCACTATCTCAAGTATCCCAAATGCAATTGCGTGTACTGCAGTAATCCTTCTCTAACCGAAGGCCAACACGTACCGCCCGTCACGCCCATGTCGCCGGCTTCTTTGTTGGCCGGATCGATGTACACTTTCGAACATTACCTGCATACCAAATACCTGCCCGATATTTTTCGGCGGCGGAGCCATTCCGATTCCGATGTTCCTATGTGGTTTGAGGCGACCAAAGCCGAGCATTGCGCCACCGACCAAGAGACGACGTCGACTGTCAACACGTCCTCGCCCAGTACCCCGACAACGACCACGTGTGGCAAATCGAGCGGCAAGCGGCCGTTCTCGGTGCCACATCCGCTTGACAATCCGCGGAAGAAAACGAGCAAGTCACCGCCCGCGCCACCTCCACAGGATTCGCCGTTGGACTTGTCCATGAAAAATCTCAGTCCGCCGCCCACAATTGTTCCTGAACCGGTCGTCTCCGTGGGTTACTACAGACCCGGCAGTACAGGCTACTCCGTGCCAGTGGTTAAGGGCGATGTAGCATCGTGTACCACTAAAGCGTCGGTGGCCGTGCGTTACAACCTGGAAGTGTCGCCGGTCGTCGAAGAGATGCCGGTCGGCTCCGACGTTGCTTACGTGTGCCCCGTGTGCGGTCAGATGTTCAGCTTGCACGACAGGCTGGCCAAGCACATGGCGTCCAGACACAAGGACAAGAGCGCTGCGGCGACCGCGGAAAACGGCGGTGACGGTTCAGCAGGCGGCGGTACCGCCAAAGCGTATCCCTGCGAAGTGTGCAACAGGTCGTTCGCGCGCAGTGACATGCTCACCAGACACATGAGGCTGCACACGGGCGTCAAACCTTACACGTGCAGAGTTTGCGGCCAAGTGTTCTCGCGGTCCGACCACCTGAGCACCCACCAGCGTACGCACACCGGAGAGAAACCGTACAAGTGTCCACAGTGTCCGTACGCCGCGTGCCGCCGGGACATGATCACCCGGCACATGCGTACCCACTCCCGGTACGAAATGGTTTCGTCGACGGACGCCGTTGGAGACTCGCCCGTCGCCTCGCCCTACTCGAACAAACCCCTTTCGCCCGCGGACAAGTATTCGCCGCCACTGGAAGTACAGTGCAAGTCTGAACCTCAATAACGGCCTCAGTGACCGTGCACAGTCTAGCAGCTTCTCGACCAAAGATTGTATAATTTATTTATTAATCAGTTATTTTAAGTACCTATACACAACGATATTTTCTAGTGATAATATTACATTATTATTATTATTATTATTACATAAACAGTATAATTATGTAAAAAATATATAACATTATATTACCGAAGGATAGAAACGTGGAATACTACCCCTCCGCCACACCGATGACAATCAACTCAACGGCGCACGTCTCTCTCACACTCTCTCTCTCTCTCTCTCTGTCGTATACTTTTTTTGCTAAACAAATATTTAAAGGAAAATGATTTTAGGTCAAACAAAACAGGGTGTGTGATATCTAATGTGCCATCCCTACGTATAATATATATTTTTTGCTTATTTCATATAATACGAAAAAGCGTTAGTTATTTTTTTACAAAAAAAATTTATCTGCGTAATATTTGTTTCAAATACATATGATGTTTTATTTGTATATTTTCTTAAATACATATATTTTGTGTTCGAACGTGTATTTCCGGTATACTTTGTTACTATTTAAATTTTAAATTAGTACACATTTTGCTCAAATAGACTTAATATTTATACATCCACATCCGTTTTGTAGAGACCATTTCGACATCGGTCTCGTCACTGTACAAAATACATTTTCACAATAACGTATTGTTTCACTGTATTCTCTCTAGTTTTTGTACTTTGTTAATTGCTCACTGCATGAAGTCTTTTTTTTTTTTTTATTGCTCGTATCATTATTATTATTATTGTTGTTATTGTGACGAAAACAAATGCAATTCATGTAAAATTACATTGATGATCGCATATATTAACTGTTTCTATTTTTTTTTTTTTAACACTAAAACTAAGAACGAACGTGGAAGTAATTTTGAACTAATGTGATATATGTGAACAAAAAAAACTACTGTTATGACATTGTTAAATAAGGTAGTTCTTATGGTAAACAGGGAAGTTCTTTTTTTTTCTTTTTTATATATATATGAAATTAATTAATATTGTTATAATTATTATGCGTAGGCCATATCGATTATATTTTATCTGACCGCACCCTTATAAGTATTTTTTATAAATCAAATATTGAAAGGAAATTTTACTTTTTATTTAAAATAATGTTATGTTTTTGTATGTGGACGCGTGGACTTAAATTGTATAATCGCTTTGCTCAAAACAAAAATAACTCGTATCGATGATGAGAATTATATATTATGTATTGTAAAAATATAATTTTAATTTTTTTTTTTTTTTGCATATTTGTAACATAAAATATCGCCATGATGTTCTATATTGCTATACATTTGTTTACATGAGAAAGAAAACGAAAAATATATAATATCTTTATAATAAAAAAAAAATATATTGTTGGTTTCTTTTGTTTGTTGAAACGTTGCCAAATCTAATTGGTGTGTGCCAATCGTGCAGGTGAATAAAAAGATCGATGCTCTTGTTTGAATTTAGCGGATCTATTAGAATAACATAATTTATTATTATTTTTTGTCGGTCATCTTAACGTGTATAATATTAATTGCAATGTAATACATTATGCCGTGTGATGTCAAATAAGAATATCACCAGGTATCGGTTTCCGGTCTGATCGATCAGTTTCACGAAATGTGTTAAAAAATAACGTTGTGTCGATAATCGATCCGTTGGCCGGCCGGCTGCTAGTCAACCGGATGACAACGTGTGCACATTTTCGAGTGATTAAATATCAATAACATCTCAGCCTTGTGGTGGTAGCTAAGCACGTCAAATAATTACTCAAGTCGTAACTTATATGACTTATCGGCGTTATAAATCGATTTATGTTTGGAATTCTGAATACTGAACAAAGTCATTTGAACGCCATTAAGCGATTGGCCAAACGAGGAGATGTCAAACCAAATCAATTAATGGAACGTGAAAATAATAGACTTATGTAAAACGATAGGCATCTTATTACTGTGAAACCACTTGATTATATCTTATAGAAATATTATTAAAACTGCAATAGAGGCGCATCCGAGTAGAATAATTAAACAAAAAAACAGCTATTGTAAGACATCTACGCCTTCATATATAATCTCCTTACGATATTTTTTAAACATCTCATAGGTGTATAATGTATTAGAATAATTATCGAGAGCACTGCCTTTATTGTTTCCTCAATGTATTAAGAAAACAATTATTATTATTCCAATAAGGTAACTATTTTATCGTGTAAAGCGAATAAAAAATTATAAAAACACTTTTTTTAATAAATATAAATACTATTTGTATCTTAGTAATAGCAGTTTTTTTATTAATTATGTTAACGTAGTAAATTGTTATAAAATTGTTTGAATTCCATAAACGACGTTTTAAATTCTTTATAAAATTGTAAACAAATTCTGAGAAATATCAGTTACTTTTCTCGTGTGACATCACCAAACTACTTAACTACAGCTGTGCGTCACCGCTCGCCTATCCATAACACCTACGCACGTCAAGTATTTTGTTTACCGAACAAAATCAACAACGACATACAAAAATCTCATCGATATCTATTGCCCGAGGCAATCTCGAAATTTTCATTACTTTAACAACTCCTCGGCAGCTTCTATCGGATTGACTTTTGCACGCGCCTCTGTGTACTGTCGCTGGTCGGCAAGAAAAATAATGAGACTAAAAAACGCGCGCGGAGACAATGCCGAGCCGCGATGGGACCCACAGAGATAATCAATCTGTACGCGTTCCAAAACTTGCGCCACACAGACCGCCGTAATGCGATTAATGCGCCGCGTACCGACAGCGTGTGATGGTTAGAAAACGAATTTTTTAACGAATCGGTTTTCGGTAATCGGTATAAATCACGTTTTAATCCGAAACGAAATACTCGTTGCCGACGACGACGACACTCGGGATCTGATTACAGCGTTGACCATACAACGCCGTTAAAAAAATAATAATAATAATACGCGTTATCTATCTCGTACTGGTTTTCCTCGTGTGGTGTCTCCGTGAATCTCGACTACATTGTGAAGCATTCCAAACGGTGCCCTTTTGGAATCGACTTTTTTAACTAACGATATTTATTAGCTTTCTTTCGGTGCTGCCAAATATCAAACGTGATTTACTGCGGAGACCGCATGAATACATTTTACTCGCTAACTGTATTTTAATGTGCATCGGATACAAGCGCCGAGCGGACGCCGTGGGACAAGTCGCAGCTAATGTGAACACTTGTTCCGCGGGACACCTCCTCCAATGGCACACGGATACTTTTAATCTCGGCCATCGCCTGAAACTTGGACACGAAGCCGCGTGTCGTCACCGCGTCCATAGGTGTACACACACGAGCCGACAGACCGGAGCTCCTCTGTGCCGCTGCCGTTTCGTATCTCCTTTCCATCGGCTTTCACTTGTAAACAATACGTCGACATGGGCGGTCGGTGGGCGATGACGGTGTCAACCTTATTGTTTTTTACACGGAAACGCCGCATAATTAAGAAACCGTTAATTGAAATCGCCTTCAGAGATCTGGTCGCCCAAATAGCTGTCGACGAAAAAGAAAACGGCGATTTCCAGTCAAAAGGACGACAACAACGGAATTTCATGTGTGCTAATTGCACGTAAACATCATAATTTTACTTCATTATCTGGTCGACGGTGCAAGTAATGAATGCGTTTACCTGGGCAAATGCAAACCGATATCGTTACACGGACATTTGCTGTAAAAATTAAGCTAAACATGTGTACGCTTTGAAAACAAACGTTACACGTGTATCTACCGTGTTAACAAAGCGGTCGTTTTTTTTAGTAGCGTTGATATGCTTCAGTAATACGAATCATTTGTTTTTTTTTTCAATGAACTTGCACGGCTCGTAAATATTATTCCAACGACGTTTGCCGTGTCCGCTCTATCGCCCGACACGACTACCTATATTTTTATTTTTTATGAATTATATTAATGCAGTCATACTGCATGTATATATTTGCATTAAAGGCTTTATGTATTTTTAATTGCACGACGACAAAAAACTTCATCGCTTTCTTACCATCGTATTCGTGTCGTGCGCCCATTGATATGTTCTGCCCGTTAAAGTTATTAACTCATCAGATAATAATTAAAATTAATGAGACTGCCAACTTGTCAGTTGTGTGTAAATCGGATATGCTAAATAATAATAAAAACGCCGCCTCGTTGACGATTTATTAGTTAGAATTAGAGCTTTTTGAACGATTACTAACGATCACTTTTTAGTTCTTAAATTTGTTTTGGGTAAATTTTTATTGCGTTTTACATTCACAGTCAGTGCGTCGCACAATAAAATAATAGTGCAGTGGATCACGAGCCGCTAGATGAAATCCAGCGAGTGAGGCATCTAGTCTTATATTTGTTTACCGTAAAGCAGCTTTTTACAGTTGTGACTTGAGCGGTGTAATAATGTCACTATGGAAAAGTGTGTAGTGTAGTTGTGATCTATCTGGTAAAATAAGAAAAAAACACTCCACGCGTATACTGGTTCCATCTAATTGACCACCTTAATCAAAAGATATAAATCGTCGTTTGAACATCATTAACGGAGAAACCGCAGATGTGTGCAAACCCCAAATGGAACGTTTTAAAGTAAACAAGATAAAACACCGGCAAGTGCTATATCTCGTTGGATTTTTTTACATCGGAAAAAAAAATTATTGCATTAACCGTTTCCATTAATGATACGACACGTTATTATGCTGCGTTTTAAAACGTTTTCATGATTGCTTTTGCAATAGCTGCGTAGACACTGCNGTTGGATTTTTTTACATCGGAAAAAAAAATTATTGCATTAACCGTTCCATTAATGATACGACACGTTATTATGCTGCGTTTTAAAACGTTTTCATGATTGCTTTTGCAATAGCTGCGTAGACACTGCGATCTTCTTATTTTTATACCTGTTATCGGGCTGCCATATTGAAATAATTATTTAAGTCGATGTACGGTAAAATGATTTTTAAAAAGCCTACAGCGGCCAATCGTGACGCTTCTGACCGGTAAGTATAAGAGGAACGCGTGACTTCAAAACGTACGAGTTAAATTATACGATGAAAATGCTTTTCATTCCTTTGGTAAACAATTTATGGCTATTAATAAAAGTTGTGTAGGTATAGTTGTCAGGTAGATATGTTCGTGTTTTGCCAGCGCTTCGGCGGTGTCAACTAATATATTGTAATTATGCAAAATATCGTTTGATAACTGTTAGAAGTGTAGTCCCAATCAACGGTGGAATATATTTCAAATATATTAATGAAAATTCAATTCCATTGAACCTGTTTTATTACAGCATTTACATTTAAAGGATAATTTTCTAAACGTATTCGAGTACTTTAAATTTAAGTATACAGCCAATAGTTGTTTTTCTTTTTTATAAAACAACAATTTGTGATAATGAAATACAGCAAAAAAAAAAAAAACAATTTATCTTATTAGTTTTGATGAGCGGTTTTCATTGGATCAGTTTAGTCGCTGTTAGTGTATTCATTGTATTCACAAGATTTTTTTTTAAGAACATACCTTACCAAATTATGGATAAAATTTGTTAGAAATTAATAATTCTTTGCTAAATGCTCTGAAATTTAAAAAACATCATATCAAAATTAGGAGGTTTAAAAATGTATGAATGGTGTACAGAAAAAACAATGATTCCTTTTTTAATTTTTGAAAGTTACGAGATTGGAACTATATTGCGGACTTAGATTGTTTTCTATTTGTTTTTGTAATTTTGTTGTTGTTTTTTTCGTTATTTTTGTTATTATTTTTATTCTGTCCATGTTGTTGTTTTTTTTGTCGTTGTCATTGTT